TCTAGATCATATTGTAATGTTTGAATTTAGAACAATAAACAAAATAAATTGAATCGTTTTAACAAATTACTATATTTTATTGCAATCAAGACCTTGTCCCAATATATAGTTGTTAGGGCTCGTATGCATAGATTATACTATAAATTCATTATATATCGGAGGTTAGGAAATATATCCTAACTGGTTTAGGGTAAATAATAATGGGCATATGTGTATCTAATGCCCATTCTTCTTTCCTGCAGTTTGCTGTCCACTATAATAGAGGATACTAGGCAGCGCTGCCATGAATATGTTGAATAGGAGAGGCGCTAATAAGATACATCCCTGTAAGAAATTTGTTGGTTACTTCGAACTTTTTTTATAATTACCCAAAGTGCATCTCTGTTTACACTGTTTACAGAGTCGAAGGATATTGTCAGGTCGATGAGTGCAAGATAAAGTTGACTTTGCTGTTCCTTTTTCCTGTAGTTAACGAACGGAGAATATGGAATCAAGGGCGCCGCGGTTGCTGGTGCGAAAGCCCGTTTGCGATTCTAGGAAGACTTGTTCTATATGTGTGTGCAGGCGGTTTGACATAATGTTTTACAAGAACTATTTCACCGATAGCCAGTAGTGAAGAAATTTCGGTAGTTTCCGATGGTTCTCACAATTTAAGCAAAAATATTTTTTTTTGAAATTTTCAAAATAAAATAACTCGGTTATTTTTGGGTTTTAAGACTCACCCTGTATATTATTATTATTAGAGTTATTTTATTTCGAAAGTTTCGAAAAAAAATATTTTTTGCTCAAATTTTGAGAACCCCTGGATCTTTTCGGGATTTTCTTTCTTGTAAATTTAATGTCCTACCTATGTTGCCATATTATCAAGAACTTATGTTTTTTAACTAAAAACTGAAAATATTTTCAAAAAATTCCGAATTTTTCAAAAAAAGTTTTAGCAAAAAGCACCTCATACCGACTTCCAGTGGGTATCCAATTTAGAATTTGTTTTGGCAGTCTATTATTGGTCATTTTTTGGACGTGACCGTACCATTTAAGTTGATTTACTATATCTTCAACTATGGAATGTGTGACGCATATAATTTCACTGATCCTTTCGTTTATAATTTTTTCCATATTTTCCATCATTTCTGTTGCTTCCAGCATTTTTTCTGTTTTCTGATTTAGTTGCCATACTTCACTGCTCACTACTAAAGGTTATAACGCTTTTTACAATACTGTTATATACAGGGTGGTTCGAACTGTATTCCGGAAACTTCGGCAGCACATCCTGTAGATAAAAATAAGTAAAAAAGTTCGTATAAATGTATGTCCTAAAATGCTTAGTTTCGGACATACAGGGTGTGGAAGTTTCATTTTTATTTCGATTTTTTCCAAATAATTTATGAAGTAACGTCAATATTTGGATGAAAATTGGTGTCTGGGAGTTTTTTTAACATGAGAAATTTGATTTTGATGTCAATATGACTCCTACTTGTATAGGGCGCCACCTACATGTGTTTTAACTGTTATGAAGAGTAATAACTTTTCGTCCGTACCTGTATAAAACTAGGCAGTGAAAAAATATACATTTCCATGAATTTTTACGTAAAAAATGTCTCTTGGTAAAAATCCCTACGAGCAGCCGTTCACAAGATGTTTAGAATGGAAATAGTTAATACATGTGTGTGTCATTATTGACAAACAATAAATACATTGAGTAGATAGTTATTTGACTGAAATAATAAATTTGGGAAATTTTTATTTTTTTTAATTAATCATAAATTTTCCTGAAAAAAAAGATATAGTAAATCAACTTCAATGGTACGGTCACGTCCAAAGAATGACCAATAATAGACTGCCAAAACAAATTCTAAATTGGATACCCACTGGAAGTCGGTATGAGGTGCTTTTTGCTAAAATTTTTTTTGAAAAATTTGGAATTTTTTGAAAATATTTTCAGTTTTTAGTTAAAAAACATAAGTTCTTGATAATATGGCAACATAGGTAGGACATTAAATTTACAAGAAAGAAAATCCCGAAAAGATCCAGGGGTTCTCAAAATTTGAGCAAAAAATATTTTTTTTCGAAACTTTCGAAATAAAATAACTCTAATAATAATAATATACAGGGTGAGTCTTAAAACTCCAAAATAACCGAGTTATTTTACTTTGAAAATTTCAAAAAAAATATTTTTTGCTTAAATTTTGAGAACCATCGGAAACTACCGGGAAATTTCACTACTGGCTATCGGTGAAATAGTTCTTGTAAAAATTATGTCAAACCGCCTGCACACACATATAGAACAAGTCTTCCTAGAATCGCAAACGGGCTTTCGCACCAGCAACCGCGGCGCCCTTGATTCCATATTCTCCGTTCGTTAACTACAGGAAAAAGGAACAGCAAAGTCAACTTTATCTTGCACTCATCGACCTGACAATATCCTTCGACTCTGTAAACAGCGTAAACAGAGATGCACTTTGGGTAATTATAAAAAAGTTCGAAGTACCCAACAAATTTCTTACAGGGATGTATCTTATTAGCGCCTCTCCTATTCAACATATTCATGGCAGCGCTGCCTAGTATCCTCTATTATAGTGGACAGCAAACTGCAGGAAAGAAGAATGGGCATTAGATACACATATGCGTTCTGTTTTCTGTTCAACATAAAAAGACTCAGGGTAAAAACACGTATAAAATCCATCACAGAACCTCAATACGCTGATGACTGCGCTGTAGTTGCAAAAACGTTACAGCAATAATTACAAGAAATGCTGAACACATATACCTTAAGCTGAACATTGATAAAACTAAAATCATGTGCACTCCGCCGGAAAATCACAACAATGCTATAAAAATCGGAGAAGAACTATTGGAACATGTAACAGAATTCAATTATCTCGGCAGTTTGATTTCGGAAAGGGCCAATATCGACTCTGAAAGACACACGCACAGTAAGCACAGCGCCTCTCGAGCATTCTGGAAATTAAAAGAGATGGTTTTCTACAATCATGATTTGAGCACAAAAACGAAACTTGCAGTATACCAAGCAATAATAATACCCACCGTGTTATATGGAAGTGAAACCTGGGCGCACTAAAAAATAATTTATTTAAACCCTTTACACCCTGTAAATGACATCTCAAATTGAAAAACCAATAAAGTAAATTATGTATTTGTACGACAGATAATAAAAGTCAGTAAAAACCGAAAATAAATAATTCAATAAAAACATCATCAGCATTTAGTGCAAGTACTATGTCAACCTCGAGTTATGTGAGTGGGTTTGACATTTAATTCAGGCAAAGTACTTAATTAAATCTGGAACCCTAGAGGGCGGCTTTTTTCCTTGCCTTATATTGCCCTTTTCCCTAGGCATTTCCAACGCCCCAAAGGACTTTTCCTAATTTTTTCTCCCCGTTCATATTGCCTTCATTATCAGCGGGATCCTCTGTTTAAATTTGGAGAAATATGTCTGGAAGAGGTGATTTTTGTCCTGAAATTCGTTGAAAAAAGTCGTGTTTTTTCTCTTTTTTTCTGTGGTAAGTTAATTTTATGAGAAAAAATTAATACAGGGTGGTCCGAATTGTATTCCGGAAACTTCGGCAGCATATTTTGTAGGTAAAAATAAATAAAAAATTCGTATTATGTATGTCCTAAAATGTTTCGGAAATACAGGGTGTAGAAGTTTCATTTTTATTTCGAGATTTCTTCCAAATAATTTATGAAGTAACGTCAATATTTGGATGAAAATTGGTGTCTGGGAGTTTTTAGACATGAGAAATTTGATTTTGAGGTCAATATGACTCCTATTAGTAGAGGGCGCCACCTACATATTTTTTCACGGGTTTGAAGAGTAATAGCTTTTCGTGCGTACCTGTATAAAACTACTGAGTAAAAAAATATACATTTACGACGTTTTTTACGTGAAAAAGGTCTCTTGGTAAAAATCGGTACGAGTAATGGGTTTCGAGATATTTGGATTCGAAATTATCAATACCTCTCATCATTGACATACATTAAACATATGTTTACTAAATAGTTATAAGACTGAAATCATAAATTCCAAATGTTTTTGTGCCAAAATTTCAACAGAAACTGTTTATCATCATTTTTTGCAGAAAAATTTATGATTAATATAAAAAAAATAAAAATTTACCAAATTTATTATTTCAATGAAATAACTATCTACTCAACGTGTTTATTTTTCGTCAATAATGATATGTATTGTCTATTTCCATTCTAAATATCTTCAGAACGGTTGCTCGTAGCGATTTTTACAAAGAGATATTTTTTGCGTAAAAAGTCACAGAGATGTATATTTTTTCGCTCGGTAGTTTTATACAAGTACAAACAAAAAGTTATTACGCTTCAAAACAGTTAAAACACATGTAGGTGGCGCCCTCTACTAGTAGGAGTCATATTAACACCAAAATCAAATTTCTTATGTCAAAAAACTCCCAGACACCAATTTTCATATAAATATTGACGTTACTTCAGAAATTATTTGGAAAAAATCGAAATAAAAATGAAACTTCAACACCCTGTATCTCCGAAACTAAGCATTTTAGGACATACTTTATACAAACTTTTTTACTTATTTTTATCTGCAGAATATGCTGCCGAAGTTACCGGAATATAGTTCGGACCACCCTGTATATCGCCATATAACAATTTTTTAATATTATTTTAATAACTGCCTATCAAGTGTTTATACCAGTTTAAATACATGGAAACAGTACTTAAATATTTTAATAACAAAAATATACTTTCTGTATTAACTAAATAAAAAGATACTATATTTTCATACCTTTATAAAGAAACTATTGTCTCTATTGCTTGGATATTTACTATCAAAATAAAACACTAATTCACCAAAATACACCAAAAATTCTAGCTTTTAGCACTGTGTTAATTTTATGATTGTCATGAATTACTGTTTTATTTTTCTCTTGTAACACCAAAGGTTCCAACCCCCAACTGTAATAGATATTCATTATGTAATAAATAAAACAAACAAATTATATAAGACAAATTTATTTATAAAGTTTCTGTAAATATTGCTTTCAGGGTTTTTAACAGAACAAGAAATGCATAATGTTTATATAAATGCAATAAACACTTCATTAAAATGTCTCACTTCAATATTATGACAGAAAATTAAAACATGAACAGTTTATAAATAAAGTACCTGGAATTTTTCTAAACGTCTACAAATAAAAAATAATACTAAATAAATAATCTACATGAAATTCGATGATATAAAACCTCTGCTTATTGCGAAACCCACCACCAGAGACATAGCACTGAAAGTCAATAGTGATATCGCAACATAAGAGATCTCATCATCACTATTTTTGTTCTGGGTTTCATTTTTGATGTATTTCGGCTCTTTGGGAAGATCAGAAAAATAATTATTATCAATTCTTTTGACGAAATCACATAAGTTTGGCCAGAGAGACACTAAACTAGGAATACTGTTCGCTGGAAGTGGTAATTTAAGTAAGGGGGAAATATAACTGTACACTACCACATCTAAAGTGGTCGGTGTATTTCCAAAAAAGTACATCGATGTTCCCAAACGAGTTGATAATGAAGACAAACACTCTCTAGCTACCACATTAATGTAATCCTTGACAACTTCCATGTTAACATCATTTGGATAAAGGCTTTCGATCAAATCTTCGGCTCTTCTTTGGATTCTTGAAGCATGGATCTGGTTGAACGGCATAGGAAGTGCTTTGAAGTACCAAACCTTCGTAAACTCATGGTAGTTTCTTTGATCAGTATAGAACACGAACTCTGTGACAGGTTTCAACTTTGAATCAACCAAATTCGTGATGGCAAACGATTCGCTTCTTTGCTTAGGGCTGAGATCCTTGTCCAGGTCATAATTCAAGGTTTTCAAGTACAAAACTATCTCGTGGAAGGTGTTAAATTTTACGTTTTTGTGCACAAAACAGGGTCCATTGTAAAAAGCACAGTTTTTAATACTGTTCAAGAGTTTCTTTTGAACTGGAACTTGAGCTATAATTGTGTAAAGTATTGATTTGGAGCACTCTACATCGAATGAAGGCAATCCAAAGTCACCGTCGTACACAAAGAGTTGGAATTTATCAGTCCCTGACATTATACAAGTTTTACAAACAATTTTCCGATTAAAAACATCACAATTTAACTAGGACGATCACATTTATAATTGAGGTTAAGACGAGGATTTTTGACAAAGAATCTGACGTTTAGGAGGCGTATTCTTGAACTAACAACAGATGTTGAGTTATTTAAAATTATTTCAAAATTTCATGAAATAAAAGCATACGTAGTGTCTAAAACATGCTCTCATAGCAGATTTTTTTTAAAATTTAGCCACAAAAAGGAGAAAAATTTAAAACAATAATATTTTAAAAGAAATATTAAATTAGAAAGGCTTATTTCAGGAATATGCCCCCAAATTACAGGTATCGATTTTTTGTGGGTGTCGGCGTCATCTGTTGGCGCTTGCTCAAAACACAAAACGCTTCTCTCTATTATACAGAGGGAACCATGCAAAGTTCTTTTTTCAAAATAAAGGAAAAATTCATCGTTTAATTTAATAATGTACTTTCATATTTTTAATGCCACTTCTATATATCATTATTTGTTGCTTTACAATATCTTGGTATGAAATACTATAGATTTTTATTGTTATTTCTGCATCATGGTTCTAAAAATAAAAATATATAAATCAATGTAAGTAGAACGCGTTTTTAGGAGTTTAAAAGCTCAACAGCCGATAAAATTATATATTTTTAGTTAAAAACGCTATCACTAGCCAAAATTTTATCTAATTGGCATTGAGTCGGACACCCAAAAATTGTAGGGAGAAACAAGCCCTATAACTTAGGATACCACATTTTAATGAACAGTGCTTTACATAAAATCAATAAAATGAAAAATATACGAAATAATTCTGATTTCTTTCGAAAATCGACAACTATGAAACTATGAACCCTTCCTGGATATAAACGGTACATTGTGAGACAGGAAATTGTAGAGAGAAAGAAGCCCTATAACATAGGATACAACATTTTAATGAACAGTGCTTTACATAAAATCAATAAAATGAAAAATATACGAAATAATTCTGATTTCTTTCGAAAATCGACAACTATGAAACTATGAACCCTTCCTGGATATAAACGGTACATTGTGAGACAGGAAATTGTAGAGAGAAACAAGCCCTATAACATAGGAAACAACATTTTAATGAACAGTGCTTTACATAAAATCAATAAAATGAAAAATATACGAAATAATTCTGATTTCTTTCGAAAATCGACAACTATAAAACTATGAACCCTTCCTGGATATAAACGGTACATTGTGAGACAGGAAATTGTAGACAGAAACAAGCCCTATAACATAGGATACAACATTTTAATGAACAGTGCTTTACATAAAATCAATAAAATGAAAAATATACGAAATAATTCTGATTTCTTTCGAAAATTCAAATTCAAATTCAAATTTCTTTGTTAGACCCCATTAAGTTTTACAGAATAATATTAGTACTAATAAATGTGTGTCTAAAGGGATCGCACCGCTATTAAAAAACCGATACATTGGCACAAAGTGCCAGAGTGGTGCGACCCCAAATACAAAATAGAAATAAATTAAATTATAGAAATAAACAAAATTAAAATAAGATAAAATTATATAAAAAAAGTGAAAATATAATTTTATCAGGGATGAGCGGAGATAAGCAGAGAGGCATAATGAAACAGTGTAAAAACCGGAACAGCAACCAATGACGGGCATATCAGAAGAACAAGATCTCACAAATCAGTCGAAGAAATTATAATATTTACGAATTTAGTAAATGATTTTTAATTTGTTTTTTATAATCTGTGAAGGATTGAAATTTAAAGTTATTAGAAATATTAATCCACAAATGTGGCGCTATGAAACTGAAAGATTTTTGGAAGTTAGCTGTTCGGTGTTGAGGAATTTTAAAATAATGCACTTGTCTATTCGAATGATCATGGTCAACGTAGTGAAACAATGAGAACAAATAGGGAGGCTGCTCTGTAGTTAAAATTCGATAAATGAATGTCATTAAATGAAATTGTCGTCTGTTAGTCATGGATAAAATAGATAAATTTTTAAGATGTGGCGATATATGATCTCTAAAAGGAATGTTAAAAGAAAACCGTAGACACGAGTTTTGAAGTATCTGGATTTTTCTAGAGAATCTAGCGTTTATCAAATAAATAAAGATAAAATAAAATGCCAACAACTTCAACTATTTCAAATAATAAAGGCATTTTGAAAAAGCAATTAAAAGATAAAAAACGCTGATCTAATAACAATTTGACGTTTATACTATTACGTCAAAAGCAACTTTTTTCCAAAGCCTACCATGACTTCACTGAATCATCGTTTCTTGTTCACTGTATCTTAATTATTAGATATTAATACCTCTGGTATTTTGGTATTCTGGTATTTCGTCGATTTTAAAATAAACTAACTGTTTCTATCTTATTTTTTTTGTTAGAATGGGCATAATTAAGAGGGCTACTTATACCGCGTTGTAAAAATAAGGTAATTAAGGGCTTATTTTTGGTATTTATTATAATTTTGCTAATATCTTCGGTTTGAAAGAAGATATCAACATGCGGTTTTCGCTGACTTTTTAAGTTTTTACTACTCTTTACTATCAGCTAAAATTACATATACTATTGCATTTAATTTTTTTGAAAAAACGCACAATGTTTGTTAAATTGTAAGACAAGGCCCCCTAGCGTCTACGTTCAAAGGCTTATTATTATTGTTTATATGGTGCAATATAAAGTAGGAAACGCTCTTTTAAACGAGCCCCCGCTTATTGGATTCCAATCATCCAGTCCAGAGTTATTAATATTTAAATAAAAACAGATCTAACCTTCCCCCACCACTTTATTTTGGTAGATAGGAAAAAACGGCTTTAACAAAAAATATTCAAAATTTACTGACGATTATGAAGCTATTATTTATAGTACACTTTATCTAGGCAAAATTGTGTAAAAACTCCATTTTCTTATTTTTTGTTGCAGTTGCGCTCCCTAGCGGTGGTTCTACAAACTTGAAAATAATTTCCAGCAATTTTTCATAGCCCCTTTAGTTACAAATATTTTTTTCCGTAAACCCTACGGCTAATACTTTCCGAGATACAGCCGAGAGCTATTCTTAGTGGGACACCCGGTACATATTGTATGAAGAATGAAACTGAATTCTATTCTATTATTTAGTTTTATAATAATGAATACCGTTAAACTTCATAAATTGTTACAAAAGTAAAATATCAAGGAATCTGTACTAATAAAAATTCAGAGAAAACTTATAACTCACTTTCATACGCTCTTCAACTTCATTACGAACTTTGCCAAATGGAAATTCTAACCAAGCTATGAAACAAAGAGCAAAAAGAGAGAGAATATTCCTGTAGGTATAATGAAAGAGAGACAGCCGATAGAGACACTGGCAACGAAATGCACCACTTCCCTCTCTCCTTCTCTAATTGATATAAAGAAGAAATTCCAAAGTATTTTGCGTGATAAACAGTCTTCCGAGAGGAAAGTTTGCTTAACTTTCGCGGAGTTCATAAATACCTATCCTCTTTCTCAGGCGTCGTAGTCTTGGGAACTTAATAAATAAAACAACACTCCTCGAATTCGGTGTACATACGCTTTGTCGGAGAAATGCGAGAGAAAAAAGAAACAAACTTAGTTTTCATTTGATCAAACGGTTCCTTCTACGAAATATAATATACAGGATGGTCCGAACTGTATTCCGGAAACTTTGGTAGCATATTCTGCAGATAAAAATAAGTAAAAAAGTTCGTATAAATGTCCTAAAATGCTTAGTTTTGGAGATACAGGGTGTAAAAATTTCATTTTTATTTCGATTTTTTCCAAATAATTTCTGTAAGTAACGTAAATATTTGGATGAAAATTGGTGTCTGGAGGTTTTTTGACTTGAGAAATTTGATTTTGATGTCAATATGACAACAACTTGCAGAGTGTGCCACCTATATATTATTTAACTGGTTTGAAGAGCAGTAACTTTTCGTCCGTACCTGTATAAATCTAGTGGGGAAAAAATATACATTTACGACGTTTTTACGTAAAAAGATCTCTTGGTAAAAATCGCTACGACTAATGGTTCTCGAGATATTTGGAGTCGAAATTATCAATACCTGTCATCATTGACATAAATTAATCATGTTGACTAAATCGTTATTAGACTGAGATCTTCTTCTTCTTAAAGTGCCTTCTCCATTCGGTGAAGATCGGCAACAATCAGACCTATTATCACGTATGGCGCAGTTGCCTGGTGGCAGAAAGCCAACCAAACAACGACCAAGAAGAAACTGTCAAAATTACCGGGACATGTCGGCCTAGAGGGAAATGAACGTGCTGATTCCCTCGCCAAAACTGGTGCAGGCTCACCATTCGTGAGCCCAGAACCGACACTTAGCGTACCAAAAAATCTCGCAAGAGACAGGCTCTGTGAATGGGTTAGGGGTGTGACGTTTCTGGACTGGTATGACAGTCCCGGAATGGAACATGCCAAGAAAATCCTAGCAGGGCCATCCAAATGTAGAACAGATGAACTCCTAAAGGCTGGTAGGAACGGAGCGCGTACGCTTACTGCAGTATACACGGGCCACTGCCGGCTGATATCACACCTACAGAGGATGGGACTGGTGGAAGACGCCGAATGCCGACTCTGTATGGAAGATGACGAAACAATGAAGCACGTTATGTGTACCTGCCCCGCTGGGGGCAGGACCAGGTTTGAGGTGTTGTTGTGGTAAATCCACGCTAGACCTATCAGACCTAGAAGACATCACCCTCGGACATAACGGCCTATGTTAAATGGCTGGGTCTTGAGGGTGAACTTTAATGCTCTTTTTCTATTAAAGAGCTTGTAGAAACTGAACCACAATAGGCCCTCGCGGCCTCAGTGGCCTTAGTCACTATAAATAGTCCTTAGTCACTATACAATAAATAGAACACCCTGTATATTTTATGAGAATCAGATGCATAATTTAATTGTCTATCAAACTGTATTATACAATTTTTTAATATACCTCAATATACCTATGAAATATTGACATTTTAGATTTTATCTTTAAAGATGTAACAAATTTTGAAAGAATACAGATTTTTAATTTTTAACTCTTTGATACAGATACTAATATTGTCGATATACTTCGTTT